GGAATTAGGCCCCTTGTGTTAGAGTGAAGCAGTGTAGAAGCTGTGCTCCAAGTTACATAGATGTAGCTCGCGTTGATGTCAGCGGGACTTACACGTGTAATTCTGGCCAAACTGAGCCTTTAAATTGTATCATTGCCAGCCCTGCAAAATGCTGTGAAAGGTATGGTGGGGGTTCTGGTCTCATTTACAATGAGGCAGATCCAGACTAACCCCACTGAAGTCAGCAGGTTGCACCGGGGTAACTGAAAGGCAAAATATTGCCCTTGGTCACCCAGTTGCTAAAGAAGGGTTTTTCATATTTGTTAGAACAAAACTCCAAGGGGAATGTATTACGTTTTGAGTTAGCAGGCACCATGCCTGATTCTTCTCTGAGTTACAGTGGCATGAATCCAAAGTAACTCTATTGACTTCAACGGAACCACTCTTGCTGTATAGCCTTGCCAACTAGTAGAGTCTGGCCGACAGACCTCTCTGTCTGTTGTTCACTGCAATATATACACAGAGAGCTGGTTTTTCACAATGTGGGGTGCACCAAACAGTGTTCTTATTTTTGTATGTGCTAGTGTAAGGGAAAGAATGGATTGAAAAAGTTAACAGAGTAAGGATTTATTTGGGGGGAATTGCAATAGTGCCAGCCCCTAAAATCATAAGTCAGACTCTAAAAAAGTCATGAAATTGTCTTAAAAAGTCATGAGATCAGGGGGGCTGGAACAATTTGTATAGTGACGGTGCTGAGAACCATTGAATCAAACTGTAAAGCCTGGATATAATAGACTCCACTTCAAGCCAGGGGGTGCAGCAGCACCCCTGGTTCCAGCTCCTGTGCATGACATTCAAAAAAATAGCTTCTTTCTATTTGCCTTCTGGTTTTTGAGCTTTTATGTTTTCAAGTTTTCTCCATGATCACTGGCTTTAATGAAAGCTGAGACTGATCAAATGATGCCAGGAACTGGAGCGTTAAGAAAAACACTAACTATTGCAAGACTGGTGATAAAATTGTGAGAGCTGGCAATGCTAGAAATGTGTGTGCATATCTTGGCGAGTTTATATGTTTTGCATTTTTTGCGGGCCCCTTAGCAAAGCCTAACAGTTAATGATTAAAATGTGATTGTATGTAACTAATCTCTGAAAGACAATGAATTTAAAAATGACTTAAAACAGGTCAAAGCAGACATAATATTGTCCAACCCAAGATTCTTCCATTCAAACCAATAAACCGTAAGACCCATGTTAAAAGTGGAATAATAAGAGCTGGAAACACACAGGCCACAAATGATCAACGCATGAGCTGAAAGATCAGGAAATGAAATCTGCTGTAGTTCAAATCTCCACAATCCCTGCAGCAGCCACCTTTGGTGGTTCTGATATCTGGGAATGGGCCAGATCTGAGCAAATCAAATGCTAAAGGTTGCATCATGGCCTCTCTCCCCGGGTTCAGCTGCAGCTGATATTAACCAGAATTGCATGCCAGAATGTGGGTGAGTTCACCCATGACATAATGGTGGTCCAAGTTACTCAGGTCAGATGTGAGTGGATTAGAAAATGGGTGTGCATAGCAAAATAGTATAACATGCACCAATAGATGTGCAATTTGAATGCAACTTACACCAAGTATTCGTTGGGGACTAAGTTAAGCCTGGGCATAAATACTGAAGTCAGGAGCTACATATGCTTCTTATAGCCTGGCTCAGTTTGGCTCTGGAAGTGATGGTGATGGTGGAGGCATAAATTAGATCAGGGAGGAGCTGCTCTCCCTCTGTGAGTTAAATTATCTGCTGTAACAGCCTGTCTATTTTCTGCTTTTGTTTGCAGAGGTTAACTCTGCTTAACTCTAGAATAACTCCATTGCAATGAACAGAGTGACACCCCATGAAAAGGGTAGTGAGATTAGTATCAGGCCCCTAGTGTTCAGATTATTTTTAGGGTACTGGTCCAGTTTCTGATCTCAGTTTCACTGTTGTACATGTGCACTCATTCCAGTAGCTTCAGTGGAGTTACTCTGCATTTACACCAATGTTATTGAGATCAGAGCCTGGCCCACTGAGATTCACACCAGCACACTTTGGGTTTATTTATCCTACAGCCTGTAACGGGGTTGAATCAATTTGCAAACCTGGCTCTTCCGAACACAGTTGCAGCATGATTTGCCACCCCTCGCACCACACTGTTACAACTCTGTTCGGAATCTGTGCTATGGAATCGGTAGAGGGAAAAGACACAGCACGGTTTCTGCTAGCTTGGTTGTTTTCTTAAGAAACCTTCTCCACCATAAACATGGACACTGCTAAAATAGTGTTGTGAACAATTGTCAAGTACAGGGCACTGGTGACTTCACTGCATTGTTATTTATTTCCGCAGCTGTAGCAATGCATGAAGATATGCCTGCCACTGTGATAGGACGTTAATTATCTTGCCATCTCTATAGCTCAATCTCACTCATTTGCCTCGGGAAATCTCTGGAGATGCACAGAGCTTTGGGAGCTGAGACCCCAGCTTCTTCCATGAAAGAAAGATGCAAAAACCTACCCCACTCCATTCCAACGGAAGAATGAACATGAACCCATATGAGCTGAAACATTTGATGTTTCCACTCCCCTGAGTGCAAGTAACCCAGGCATCCTGAAATGAGCATCACCGAAAGATCAGCACTGAGGTTTAGCACATCATTCTTCCCTGACATCTGGATTATGATGGCAAGGAATGCAAGAAAATGGCCGGTCATGTGACAGTCCTTCCACAAGGGGTGGGGGAATTTAGCTCTGATTTACATACAGTTTTTCATAGGAAACTATCTGAAGATGTTTGACAGCTGTGAAATTCCTCTCCAGCTAGTATGCCTTTCCTTAAGGAACCTGCACAAAATAGACTTCACATGGTGTTCTTCCAAACTAATCGTCTGTTACATGGAGAACACCAAGCTCGGCCTGCAGCCGCACGCAAGTGGTTCCTGTCGGGGCTCACGATGTAGCCCACAGGATTCTTTTCATTTTGTGGATTGCTTCCTGCTTTGCCCGAAAGATTGCTGTTTGCTTACTTGTTAATCGCCTTGCTAGGGTTGCCAGCTTTTGGCCTGCAGTGCCAACTCGTTTACCGCATGGCGTCATAATGTAACGTCATGGCCTCGTGCCACGACACGAGGATGCTGAGCAAAATCATCATCGTGTCACAAGACAGTGTTGTGACTTGAAGAGATTTTGCTGGCCTGAAATAATTTTGCAGACAGTCAAATCATCGGGGTTACCTTATTTAAATAAGGACAATCCTCTAAAGCCAAAACAAGAGGCAATCCTCTTCTTTCTTATTCCCATGGAGGGCAGGACCAGAAGCAATCATCTTAGTTTGCAGCAAGGGAGATTTAAGTTAAACATTAGGAAAACTTTCTAACTAAAAGGGTTGTTAAGCATTGGAACAGGTTACTTAGGGAGGTTTTGGAATCCGCATCATTGGAGGATTTTAAGAACAGGTTAAGCGAACACCTGTCAGGGATGGTCTAGGTACTTACTCCTGCCTCAGGAGGCGGGGATGGATTAGATGACTTGTCTCAAGATCCCTTTCAGCACTATCTTTTTCTGAGGCTGTGATTATATGCTTCTGGCAATGGACGTAGCCTGGAATTCTGTGGAGTTCCCTAGCTCAGGCTTCTTCTCATAGTTACGCTCAGTCAATCTGACTTTCCCATGGAATGACACTGCCCTTTAGTGAAAGGAAGTAATCATTCTCCTTAAGAGGCTTCTGCATTTAAAAGCAAAGGCAGTTGCTATACTGTCCGTCATTAGCCAGTCTAGACACGCAAATTGTTCTGACCTATTTACCACACTACAATGCTCATATTTATATAAAGTGATACGTCACCTGCTAGTCCACCCTGTGCAATGTTTTCTGTCAGGTTTGTGAGCTAAACAGAGTCGCACTGAGTCATTTCCTCGATGGGCCACTTCCACAGAACACCTAGGTAGTGTGGTGGCAGTCCTCCCAACGGGTCAGTTTTGAACTAGTTTGGAGACTTTAAGATGCTGTCTTTCAAATTAAATGTACCACTGGCGCCTATGGCTAGTAAAAATCTTATGGCAGCTTTTGTCACAGTAAACCCAGTACCTTGGCGAGATTACAACTTGAGTAATTACAATCTGCAACCTAAGTTTCCCCTGGAGGTTCAGTTGGACGCAGCAGTCTTCTTTCCTCCTTGTTCTAATGGTTGTGCCGTGCAATGTTGCTCTCAGCTGCTGAACACCAACCGCAGTCCAGAGGTGGTTGCATCTCACGGGCAGGTGAAGTGAGTTGCACATAAAGCTTGTAAATCCATTTAAATTTGTAAGTTATTTGGGATGAATAATCAGTATTTAATTGTAAGGCTCTTTCATGGTGCACTGAGCTTTCAGGATGAACTTTTCTCCCACATCTTGTCTCTGATAGAAAACTGCAGGCTTATAATGACCTATCTATGGAAGAGATTAATTCAAGGATAAAGCCCTTCATATTTTCTACTCCGCTATATATGTAAACACCACTAAAGAAAACATTCTGTGATTCTACCACTGATAATTTTAACATTAGGCAGGGAGTGCATCACATACTTGACTGAAAAAAAAGTACAAAATGTAAATTATAAACTGTTGATTCGTACTAGAAAATGCATTATAAAAACTCAACTTGTTTTTCCCCTTTGATCCATATTGTCTGTGTTTCTAAACTACAATATTTGTGAGATGTTTTGCAGGAGATACCCATCCTCAAAATGGATAGTTGGCAATGGAGACGGAAAATAAAGAGCAGTCTGTTTCCTGTTAAATGTTGCTGGTCACATTAATTTACATTGTTTGTCTCATGTTTTACTGCTTCCACGTTGATGTTGCATTAAGCTGGCTGGAGTCGAGGCAAGAAATGAAATGCAGGCACTGGCAAAGATTCTTTTACACTAATAAAGGTTGTTCAGATAATCATTGTTTCTTTATGCATTGAAATACAAATACTGCAGCTGTCTCTTTAACTTCTTTAATTAGTGTGTATGAATACAGCGCTGGTGAAATTGCTGGATTGAAAAAACCCTGGAGATCCAAGCCTCGGTACAACACAGGCGTCGGCCGTGCAAGCGTCTCCCACTGTTGGACTTCACTCCCCTATGGGTTCATCTTTGGCCTTTCTGCTCTGACTGTTGACAGTGGACCTAGTAAGTGCCAGTGGTGTTGATATTAGCTTTTGTGCCTGTCGTGTGTTTACTTGTCCCCGGGCAACTGAACGCTGACCTAAATTTCTCCCAATCTATCAAATGGTGAATGGAACTTCCAATCGCTATCTGCCGTTCTGGATTTGAACCAGCATCCCACCGTAAGGGGAGTGTACAATATCTCTCTGAGTCTTCTGTCCCCCAGAAACAGTCTTGTTTGCCTTCAAACTGCAGCAACAAGTGATGGCACTGAAGGGAATTATTTCATCAGACACACCCTGCTATGTAACCACCGTTATGTGTCCTCCTCCCCAAATGGGACTGCTACCTCTGTTTATTTAGAACGGGTGGAAGTTGCCGGTTTGACAGAGCTGGAAACTAGAGGGGGCAGGTCAGTCCATCGAGCAGCAACATGTTCATGTTTGCCATAAGAATGGATCTTATATGCTGGGTCAAAAAAGGTGTCAGATAAAATTAAGTTGAGTGTGGGGTCCCATGCGGAGCGGATAAAGCACACGACCAATGTGGTTGCAAGCTGAATCCGAATTCTGTTTATTACAAGCTTTCTTTTATAGTTTTTTTCAACATTACATAACCCAATTAGGCTATAATCACACATCTACGGATTGGACAAGAAGGAGAATCATGTGTTTATCACATGTATAGCCCCACACCGATTGGTTCAACCGTTCCTTACATAAGGCCATGATTTATCACCTTGTTTACCTCATCTTATATAATCCCTAGACCCCCCGGGGGCCTTACATAAGGCCATGAACTGTTGCCTGGCAAGTGTCCCATCGTGACCCTTACCTCCTCATGGAACTTTCCATTAGGTTGGTGTAGGGATGATACATCCCCACAGTTGAGCACGGTGCCTTGTTTAGATTACATCTGACAGGCTCCAGTTCTTTTCTCTTCACTGTCAGCTTCTTTAGATTGCAGAGCTGCCTGCCACCCTATCCCTGCATCTCCGGGCTTTTAAGATAAAGGCAAGATAAGTTAAGCACATGGGGCAAATCCCATTGAAGTCAGAAGGAGTTTTGACATTGACCCCTTTAAAAAATGGGATCCTCCGGTTTTCAAATAAATATCTTTGAGCAAAATCGACCTCTCCTCATGGACCTGCCAGAGCCTGAATTGTCTAGGTGTCCTCCAACAGCTAAACCAGTCCTTATTGTGCTGTCATAGGTGGCTGCAGTGGCATTGGCTTGCTGGGAAAACACAGAACTCTGAACGTTACAGCTGTGCACAGAGCAGGTAAGTGAAAGAGGAGGATCTGCCTGTCTGTATGAATATGTATAGTACAGATCGGGTATATCTGTCTGTAGTTGTTAGGTGTCTTGCAGATCGGGTGCCCTGAGCTGTCTAGTGTGATTCGTGTTGGCTGACAGGATAAACTTCTGCAGACCTGTCCAATAGTTAATCTTACACCTGTGATATCCCCGTATGTCACTGATATCCTCATGCACCCACATCACCTCATTGCCTTCAGCAGAGCGTTGGGGCTGCAGCTGGTGTGGGTGGGGCTTGAGACAGGCTGTACAAGCAGGCCCTTGAGTGGCCTAATGATGCCCTCCATCCTTCCCCCATCCTTCACTAGCAATCACTGGCACTCTCCTTTGGTCCTCCTCCCCCTGCCTCTCTCCTTGACTCCCCCCCCCACCCTCTCTCTCTCTTCCATCACTCCTGCTTCCTCCCCCTTCTTTTCTCTTCTTGCTGTTCCCCGTGGTTTTCTATTAGTACTCTTTGCCCGACACTGCCCTCTCATCTCCTATGGCTCCCGCTCTTGCTCAATTGGTCTCCTCCTTTGGCTCCTCTTCCACCGCCCTGGCTCCCTATCTTGCTCCTTATTTCCCCGGCTCTCTTCCCAGTCCCATTCACTGTTGCATTGGGTAGAAGAGCAACGCTCCCCATAGACTTTCTCTCCATGTGTGTACGCGTGCGAACGTGCGCACCCACTGGCAAACTAGCAAGTTGCATGTAAGGGGAAATGGTTAACAAATGCCAAAGGGAAAAGCAATCACCACTTGTCACTGATAAGTTGCATCGGACTGTGGAAACGGTTGCCATATTCTCCTGTCCATTCTTTCCCTTGATGGTCTGACTGACTCACCAGCAGTTCATATAACGCAAGTCATATGGAATAATTAATTTAGCTCACATCAGTCTCAAGCAACACGTGTGCTGCTACTGCTGCTAACTGCTGCCAGCTTTAGCTGTAGAGAACTGAGCTTCCATAAAGAATCGACTGCTTTCCCCCCGGCTCAGGTTACTCGAAGGCTGTCTGCAGCAATGCTAGAGAAGGCGGCGGAGCAAAGCAGTGATCTTGGCCCAAACTGATCCAAAGGATTTGGAATAAAAAGGCCTGAAATAAGGACAAAAGCTTCTCACAAGCCAGATTTGGAAAGAAGGTTTACAAGAGTTGTCAGCTAGCATTGGCTTGGAAGTGTTTCTACCATTTTTAAAGCTATTTTTCCGTATGGAAACATTTTATAGAATTTAATAACAGGGCAGAAACCAACAGGAGTCTGCAGGGTTCTATAGAAATCTCTCTAACTCACCTATAGCCGGGGTTCTCAACCTTTTTCTGTCTGATGCCCCCCCCATCCAACACCCCCCCCCATGCTATAAAAACTCCACGCCCACCTGTGCCCAAATAACTGGTTTTCTGTATATAAACGCCAGGGCCAGCGTTAGGGAGGAGCAAGCCGGGCAGTTACCCAGGGCCCTATGCTACAGGGGGCACCAGGAAGCTAAGTTGCTCAGGCTTCAGCTTCAGCCCCAGGTGGCGGGACTCCGGCTTTCTGCCCTGGGCCCCAGCAAGTCTAATACTGGTCCTGCTTGGCGGACCCTGTGAAACCTGCTAGCGCCTTCCAACCCGGACCCCTGGTTGAGAACCACTGACCTATAGAATGTAACAGAGACATTTCAGCTTTTTCGGCAGAATTCTTAAAGCAACTTCAGGAGTTTAAAAGAGATCCAGTGCACAGAATACTGGAGTCAGGAGACCTTGATACTGTTCCAGACCCTGCCACTGAGTTGCTGTGCAACCTTAGGCAAGTCACTTACCTGCTCTGTGCCTCAGTTTCCCCACCTGTAAAATGGAGGTAATGCTCCTTATCTTCCTGAAATATTTTTGAAAAATGCTACCAAGAGCCAAATGATTATGTTGTTTTAGTCATTATATCTCTGCTTATGGACTAAAAATGATGCCTCTCGGCTCATGCCATCTAAGGACAGAAAGTAAAATATTTACCTCATTTATCCATCCCTGATCCCCTTCCTGTAGTGTTGATGCCAAATTTAGCCAAGAGATAAGATTTCAAGTATACAGAAAAGTTCATTGGATGCAGTGTCCAAATGATCAGAGTTTCACAATGATATCAACATTCGCATCAGAGCAAAACAAAGATGAGGAAATGATTTAAAAAACAAATCTGTGTCCCTCCTCTGTATCTTGTCCTCGGCAGGCTTCCTTTTGTTCTCCCAGGGGATGGCCCCTAGGCTAGAACCTCACTCATTACATCAACAAGTGTCCTCACAGTGTGCCTTGAAGGCCTGATTTAATTAAAAAAAGCACTAAACCCTTCTGGTAATAACTGAGAACTCAAGCTATTCTCCCCAGTGTGTGTTTATTCCTGGGCAGATCACTCCTGGGTGAGGGATGCATACCCCAGTGTTGAGTCTTTCTCAGAAAACTGTATTTTTGGAAACATTGCTAGAGAGCATCCTGCTAGCATCCTAACATCACCCCAGTGATCATGGCAAGGTGCGGTTACTGAAATGCCTGTACTTGCCATTAGCTATTCCAGAAGCAGCAGAACAGGAATTGCGACATCTCTGAAAAGAGCTTGAATTTGATTCTTTCATTTAACACTTGAGCTCATTCAAAAAGAGAAATAACAGCCTCCCCTATAAACACTGAATGTTGCATTCTGGGAGGAAAATAGTCTTTGCATGCAGTATCATCTGCTCTTTAAGTGCTCATTATATTCCAGCCAGAAACCAAGCCTATGTGTATGATCACTAGTGTTGCTAATAAAAACAATGTTGTTCTTTCAGCGCTTTAAAAAAAAAAAAGTTCACACTTTTACTGTTCCTCGAAAACTAGCCAGCTAATAAAAAGAAGAGTGACTCACTGGACGTGCATTGTACAGTCACTTCTTTCAAAGGAACGTCTGTGCCTCATAAGTAAGTTAGATGCCAACATATTTAGATGACAAGACATTTTTGTTTTTCAAATCTGCCTGAGTGGCAACTGGAAAGTGATAGTCTCCTGTTTTTATGCTGGAGATGCTGGCACTGCAGAGTAATTCATCATACAGCAAGCAAAATGCAGCAATAGGAAAAGGTTTTCACAGATGTTTCACTGCCGTACTTGTAAACAGAGCTCAGTTGGAATAGCTTTCAATTGATGCAAACAAAATTCCATTTCTTTGGCACTGAATCTTTGAAACACCAGAGCTGAAGCTGGACCCCCCTCATATCATTCCCAAGACTCAGATGAGATCACTTCTGTATTACTGGCATTATAATTAAACTAATGGATATATAGATCATGAACTGGCCATTACATGTTCTACAACCCTCCATTCATCTTACGTACTCAGGGCTTGTCCTGCACGGTGCTGAGTACCCTCAGCTCCCAAAGAACCCATGGTGAACTCAGTATCTTGCAAGATGAGGCCCTTAGACAGCACAACTCATTTCCACCTTAAAAGGCCAGGATGGAGTGCCGAGATACTTCCCCTGTGGTTAGCACTCTGCACTAGTAGATGAAAAAACCCACATCAAGTTGCTTGCCTCCTGGGCCAGCTAGTACTGTGGGAGAGCTTTGCATAAACAGATCTAGAAGTAGGGAACTCCGTCAATAACACTCCAGTTTGCCTGCTTGTTGATCTAGTAGCAGCCCGAAAGTCTCCTAAAAGAATTGCAGGCCAAAAGGTCTCTGTGAGGTAGAGTCGTTAGAGGGAGGTAAAGAAGGGGGGGAAATTGGGTGAAGGAATCTTCATAGACAATACCCCCCTCCCCAAAAGCAGAATAGCATGCGATCTGTGCGCAACCATCAAGCCACATAGGCAGCTGTTTGCAAGCCAAGAATATGGAAAGATGCAAAAGAGGGGGAGCATTCACTCATGCTTTGTGACTGGAAACGTGGCTATTTATTGAACAGCTAAAGCTGCACAAAGACTGGAAAAAAAGCACAACTTTATACATCCCGAGGCACTGTACAGATGGGGAAAAAATCTCCTTATGAAATATATGAAGTGTCTAGTGCTTCATGCCGACTCGAGCAGAGATGAAAGTTGCATGCAGATATTCATAGCATAATTATTTTTCCAGGTTGAAAATGCTAGAGAGCACACGAAAAGACCAATTTTTAGCTGTCTCGTATATAAGATGAGTGACAGACGCAGAGATATAGAGCCTTTGATCTGTAGGCTGCTGGCTGTCTTGGGTTATTCGTGAGTAAGGGTCGCTACCATCCGAAAGGAGTTTGATGGTCTATGTGCCATGAGTTTGGTGGTCTCAATCCAGTTCCTGTTGAACTGGTATCCACACCAGAAAAACCATCATAACAGATAGTGCCCCTGTTGTCAGTGTGATCAGAGACACCAAGGGCTAAACAATGGGCTTGGAAGCTGAACTATCCTCTCCTTTCCAGAGGTATCCTCAGCCAACAGGGTGTAGGTGTACAGGTTGGATAGTGTGGGGGTGCTTGTACTGCAGTAGATCTACAGATAATAGAGCAAATAGGCCTGATTCTCTGTGCCCCCCGCCCTTCCACAGGATGCTGCATTTTGTGTCCCCTGTGCCGGCAGCGGGAGATAGTGCCCATGCTGTGGACTCTGTGTAGCTTTGCAGGTCATGAGATCTGAGACATTTTAGCACTGCCAATCCAGAATTAGCTGTCAAGGTGAACACTACAAGTGGCATTTAAAGCATAATCAATACACAAGACAGTCAGGCCAAAGAAATAAAATGGGTAGCTGTGGAAAGTCATAAAGAATAAAATCAATGTGCCCCTGGAAAACAGAAAAAGACATCAACATTCTTCCAAGTCAAACAGCATTTCTTATGGTTTAATGGCTAGCAGGTTTATTTTGTCTGGAAGATAGGCTGCATTAGGCATAAGGCATGATTTGAGGCATAGAGATGTATATATTTAGCAGACGTTAAACTTCTTTAACTCTGTTGTGAGGAGGTGTGGACAGATGTCCTCAAATTAATGTCTGTTGTGCCAGTTATCCCTGAGC